GGAGCCCAATATGGGATTCGATCCCAGGACCCTGGGATCATGACCTGAGCCGAAGGCAGACGCTTAACGACTGAGCCACCCAGGCACCCCCAGGATACATTTCTCTTTATTCCCAACTCAACATAATGGGGATAATGCTCCTATCTACTATTCCCCGCTCTGGCCTGGCTCTGGTCTCAGAATTCCAACTGCAGAACAGGACCTGTCTTTTTGGATGCTTTGGCATTGCTTGGCCAAAATGAGTCTTAGCCCTTCCCACACATGAGTTCCTCATCTTAGCTCACCATTCTGGGCCTGAAGTCTTATTATTTTACTCTCATTGATCTCGTTCTGGATTTCAATGTCTCCAGTGAGGACTGTAGCAAGAACATTCTAAGTAGGTCTCCTGTTTTTAGGGACCCTCTGAGTCCACCCTATGCACTGATGGCCAAGGTCTGCTCCAAAGGGAGAGCTCCAATTCTATTATTCTCCTGATCAAAACCTGTCAGTGGTTTCCCACTATCTGCAAAATAAAATCCAAACTTCCCAACTTGGGCTTTAAGGGACTCACGTGTTGGGTCATAATTCAATTAAGATTTGTTGAGCGCCAACTGGATGCCATGCACTGTGCTAAATGCTGGAGACCAGTCAGCTTAACAAGACACAGCCCCTTGCCCAGATGAACTTCCTGCTCTAGAAGAGGGATGCAGAACAGAAAGCAATCACATATAACATGGGGTGGGTGTGTGTGTGAATTATGCCAGAATTAGGGTATGCTCTGTGATAAAAGAGGAACGGCACCTAGCCCAGGCTGAGGAGGGAAGAGGTAGAGGAGAGGAAGGCGGCAGGGGGTAGTCAGGGAAGCAGGATGGCAATCGGGGAAAGCTTTCCTGGAAAAGGTCAGCGGAACTTCAAATATGAAATGGCAATCAGACATGTCAGGCAGGGGCGATGAGTGACGATGGACAGTGTTTCAAACAGAGGATCGAATTTGCATGGCCTTATCTCTGAACTCCATCTCCATACCAACTGACCTACAGTTCCTCTTGAACATCTTTCCTTACCTCCACCTTAGTTGCCTTTCCAAGCTTTCAAAGTCTGGCTCCATGACCATACCCTGGAGCTTTTGTTTGACAAGCCAGCCAGAAATCGCCTCTGATCTCCCTGAACCTCCTTAGGCCCTACTTCTGTACCTCGAGCATGGAGTTGCTCAGCGAATACTCACCGAATGAATTTCTACTGCTCCTTAACTGGGGTCTAAGCACCTCATGACCAGCCTAGCGCACTGACTTCATCTGGCCTCCCACCTCCTGCCTCTTCCCTTCATCAGATGGGCTATCTCACCATCATCCAAATACACTAAGCTAATGCTGCTCCAGTGACCTGGAATGTTCTTCTCCCCCCACCTCCTCAGTTCCATCCATCCTTCATGCTCCAAATCAACTCTATTCCTTCTTTCATAAACCCCATCCTACCCTGTCCTCTCCCCTCTCCAGCTTCCTTTTGCCTTTAGGTTCAATGCCATCCCCTCTCTCTAACTGGACTGCGGGATCCTGTACATCTACCACATGGCCCACTCTAGCAGAGACCTGAGAAAATGGCAAGGGCCTACTGGGAGGCTGTTGCCCATCTTTGCTTCCAGCTTTGAGCAGAGGGAATCTCTGGTTTCTAAGTAAAGTGGACAGAGGTGACTAGGGAGAAAAATAAATCAGCAACGAAAAGGAGTACCTGAGATGAGACGAAGGGGGGACTTACAGACTCATGGAGGAAAGCCAGGCTAAGGGCTAAGTCAAATCGCATCAAAACGCATGATTGTGTCTTCCCTTGTTTGCCTTACATGAATGGTTTTTCTGGAACACACTAAAGAGTTAAGAGTTCCTTTCCTCCAGAGAGGTGACTTTGCCCCTTTGAGTATACCTTTGTGTTTTCACAAGAACAGACAAGGTAAGTATTTTTGCATTAAATTAAAAGGAACTATGTAGTTTCCTTTTAGGTTGTTTTATTTACATATATGGTTACTCTAGTTTTTGTATTCTGAGACAACAGAAAGAATCAATGATTTGAGACAAAATGTTTCAGGTATGTCTGGCTCTATTCCTTTGTAGAACCTTAAAAATGATCTGTTTTTCAGAGATAATAAACTTCCAAGTTTCAATAACATCTCTACTTCTGGGGGAAACTTCCTTTTATCATTTCCTCATATAAACGGTCTGCTGCAATTGGGAAAAGCGGGGGAGATACTGTTCTATAACCTTATCTCATCCCCTGTGATGGTGATGTTTCCTCATGACGGTTAGTTTATTAACTTCTGGCAGGCCTCCAGGAGTAAATAAGGGTTGAACGTCGTTGGAACTATACCAAGACCTTACGCAGGATCTTTGCCCTTTGTCAAGACAAAGAGAGTCTCTGCCGGACAAGTTACATCAAAATTGGCCACAGTGAGACTTGAGAGAAGGAGGGTCTGTCGGTACTTGACTAACTAGCCCCTCAAGAGGCATAAACCCCAGACCAAAGGTCCCCTTTCACATATGGAGCTCCCAAATAGCTATCTTCTAAATATCCATAATGTTTAAGAAATGAAATTAGAAAGTGTCTTACCTAGGTCAGCAATACACTCTGCAGGTACAAAAGCTCTTTACTGAATCGAAACTTCCCATGGAGTCTTGGGAGCCCTTATTTTGACAAAACTGCCTAGTTAGATGAACCTGAGAAGTCTTCCACCTGCACTTTTCAGGCTTTCTATAAGCTACAAGATGCAACACTTCACATAGCTCAGTACCGCAAAGGGTGTCACCCGAAGCCCTTTGAGTTTATTTCTAAGCTTGCCGTAGCTTCTTCCCATCCTTACCTCCTGTTCCCTCATGTCTCTTCCTCCCACTCCATCTACCTTAGCAGGGCTCATGCCCCTTCCTCTTCTGTCTTTGGTTTTCACTGAGCAGTTCACCACCTATACTCACTCCTAAGCATCTCTTTCAAATGTTTCAGAATCAGGAGCAAGGCAGGGTGAAAGGGCTGGAATGCATTTTCTTCTTGATTTGGTGGCCACAACGAGATCCCTTAAGCTCCAGTGTCTGTAGGTCCTAAGTGGGTTCCTTCTCCCAACCTTCAAAGTCTCCCCTTGATCTGGAAACTCTTCCTCCTTTCCCCTCAAACTGACTTATGTCAGCAGGATCTTTCCTCTCTTAAGCTTAGGTCATTGTCTTTGTGCTCCTGATGGCCTACTGTGGGGAGTTCTTGGGCATGACGAGTGGTGGCAAAGACCAACCAATGGCTAACAGATTGTCCCAGCTGAGCACGTGCCAGGGGTCCAGACTCTCACCTGAATGAGGAGATCGATAGCGAAAGTCCTCTTTGGTCAGCAGCAGGAGAGCTTTGCCATTCATTTCAAACGTGTTGCTGTCAATTGGCCTTAAAGAAAACTCATTTTCAGCCCACTTGAGCCACTGGGCTACGTCATCCCTGCTCCAGTAAATTGGCTGCAAGCCTGTTGGAGAGAGAGCAAGGCAGAAAGAGAGAGAGAGAGAGAAGAAAAAAAGGCCTTGTCAGTTAGACAGTTGGAATAAAGGGAAAAGCTTTCTGAATGGTTAATAAAATTGAGTCTTCACGTCTGAAGAGCCCTTATGTTCAACTCTGAATCCCAAGTTAAAGCTCAAGATTTGTAAGTGCCAAATTATGGTCCAATGAACTATTTTTTTAGAGGCAAAATGAGAAGACAAATCCTTTTTTATGTCTTTAATGGACCCTAGGTCTTGGTGCCCTGTCCTTCCTTGTCCAGCTCCTGAGACTGTCTTGATCTCAGGTATGCCCTAAAGCTGAGGCTCTTCGGTGGCCTGACACGGTCATGACAGATGTCAATGTGCTTTGGAGGGGACCTTAGAATCACAACTGAGCTGTCACCCACTGTCCTTTTGAAGTGAGAATGTTCCAGAGCTGGGCTTGACCTTCGAGAGCTGCCAAATAATGAAGTGTTCCCTGAAACTTCTTCCAGGAAGAACAATTCACTCAGCCTCTGGGAAACTATCAGGCTAGCCTCTGGGAATGAGAGGGTAAAGTAAGGATAAAAGGTCTTTTGCCTTTTTATTCTGCCTTTCTGATGTTAGAACTTCCTGGCGGGGGTGGTACTTGGACTCTGAGTAGGACCAGAAGTGGGCCAAAGGGAGGGCTGCAGCTTAGGTTAAGAGGGTAGCTCAGGCTGGACCTTTCTGGATGCCTGACTGTGAGTCTATATTTTTATTTCATTTTGCTGTTATGGGAAATCTTTGATATATCATTCAGGTGGTTTAGAACAGTGGTTCTCAAAGTGTGATCTGAGGACCCCTCAGGTTCCCAAGACCTTTTCAGGGTGTCTATAAAGTCAAAACTCTTTTCATAACAATATTAAGAGGTTATTGACCTTTTTTCACTCTCGTTTGTTCATGAATATACAGTGGAATTTTCTAGAAGCTATATGACATGTGATATTGCAGTGGATATGAGAATCCAGTCATCTTCTATAGATTTGCAAAAGAGACTTACAAAAATGTAACACAATTCCATTTTTCTCACTAATTTTTTTTGTTTTGAGAAGATGTATTCATAAATATATACTTATGCTAATAATATAAGCTTAGCTTACTATTTTTCAGTAAGCATTTTTTTTAATTCTCAGTTTTAATTTCCAATATGGTAAATATAGACAGATATAATCCGTATGAGTGAAGCTCTTTGGGGTCTTCAATAATTCTTAAGAACTGAAAGCAGTCCTGAGACCAAAATGAGAATGGATAGGTTGGAAGAAGCTAGATGCTCAACAGAGCTTCATTCTCTAAAACTGTATTGCATGAATTAATAGTTCAAGTACAATGGAATCAGGGTTTGCTAAGAGGAGCTTCAGTCTCTCCAGTGAGTGACTTAAACTTGCTAAGGAGACTTGAGTATGCTGTAAAAGTGCCTTTCAGCTTGATCCTGGAAAGAGTCACCTTTTCATCCTTAAGTATCACAAAGAACTGTCTGGTCTACTTGGATGGGCTGCTTTTCCTCCCTAGTGGACCAGGGAACGAACAGCTCAGATCCCTTGGAGAAGGTCCAGGGCTTCTGGGCATGACTATTGGCTCTGTCTTCCAGGTGGCTCCTTTGCAAAGTCTAGTTTTGAAGAATGGTAGCTGGCTTCCCTTAGCTCTGGGGAAGTCCTTTCTGAAGTAGGCTATCATGTAGGGCACCAAGAAAGAACTATGGGCACTGGCCTAATCAGAGATGGGCGTTTAAGAGTTCTTTTTCTTGTTTTGTACGTTTAATAACTTTACATGGAAAAAAAAGTGGCATCATAAAATAAGAATGTGCAGTATGCTACTGCTCTATGATCTTGAGACTAAAACACAGCCACTAAAGAGTTCAAGGTTTTATTTCTGACTCTTAACTATGCCAAGAAGTAATGCCCATTTCAAATGGTCCTTGGATACAGAAGGTGCCCCTACTCTTTCCAATGACCCTGAAAACACGTATCTCAATCACAATGAAATGGGGGTGGGCGTGAGGATGGCTCTGCAAGATCTCAACTTTTGAACCTGTAAGAAACCTTAGCGTTTACTTCCTATTGTCAGTGGTGTCACCTCTGAACAGGAACAGCACAGCGATTAGTGATTTGTTACTAGGAACTTTCCCCTTCCTCTCCTTCACACAAACAGCATGGGTATAACCAGATCCTGGGGCCGAGTGTGAGGTTCCAGTGCAGCTTGGCCTAGGAAAGAGCCTGGGGGTAGGTGGGCCACAGGGCAGAAGATGCTCAATCGGAAACAGGAAAAACGATGGGGTAGCTTATTGGAAGTGTGAGTGCCAGAGCAAATACAGAACCGAATCCCACTCAGGAGGGGAAATGAGAGTAAAATGCTGAAGTGTCTGCAGAGGATTCACTGAACCGGAGGGAGGCGGGTGAGAAGGGGGTGGGGGACACAAGTAGTAATTTGAGGTTCTTTATATTCTATGGAAGAAAATACTCATGAGTAATCTTTTCCCTAAATACAAGAAGAGTCACACACTTCAAACAGCCCTGCTGGTGAAGGGCGACAGTTTCTCTTTTCACTTCCCATTACTGTCTCCCACAGCCCAGTCCCTGAAGCCAAGCAGAGCCACCGCGGAAACCCCCTCCTGGGGAACCGACTTGAGTGCTCTGGGCTGTGTGCAAAAGGGGCCCATCGAGTCACCGTCAGTCCAGGGAATACCATGGTAATCCTAGCAGGTTTACCAAAGTGACCCCAACAGACTAAGCTACCTGCTCGAGGCCACCCAGGACACTGACCAGAGTCACACTCTTCCCTTAGCATAAAGAAAAGGTAAACACATTGCCTGAGCTTCTGGAAAGGGGCTTGATAAACTACGGTGTTCAAAGTCAAGTCCTAGTGCTGCTTCCTCTTTGACTCACTCGAAGACTGAGGAAAAAGAAGCCCCCTTTCCTCAAACCGAACAGCCCTAAGGCCTGGGAGTTACAGCGTCTAAATGGAATAGAGCCCTGGACCCAGAGGCAACTCTAATTAGGACCATTTAATTTGCTTAATAGTCATTTATTAAGCACATCTATCATCTAGCACTCTTGTAAGCGCTTTATAAATATAAGTTCATTTAACTCATGCTCACAGCAACCCCATGAGATCAGGGAACTCGGGCTCAGTGCATCGAAGGGATTTGCCCAAGGTCATATCGCCATGGTAACAAGAGGGGCTGAGAGTCGAACCTAGGCAGTCTAGTTTCAGAGTCCGTGCTCTTATCCCTCACACTGTGCTTACGCACGCACTTCCCACCCCGAATCAGAATTCAGATTGATTTGCAGCATCTATTAGGGATTCAGAAAAGACTGAGTGAACTCAATCCTCCCCATCCCAGACTTTGATCCTTGGAGGCTTCCTCAGGTTATCAACAGACTAAAAATAGAGCAAAAAAATCTGTATATCCCTGGAGAAGTAGATTTATAAATGGGAAGAAGAGGGAGGTGTAGGTGGCACTCTGCTTTGAACACATCCAGGAATACAGCATCGCCCTCACTGGCTACTCACTGCTCATAGGCACTGGTCTTGAGACTTGCCCTGGCTCACAGCTGCTCAGGCTAATGCTAACAGAAGCCACATAGACAAGATGAGGGAGAACGTATCACATAGAACCGCCTTTACGGTTATCTCTTGCGACTTTAACTCAGCAAAGCTGAATAATACAGATGTTACTAATCATTAGTAAAAGGAAGAGACCCTTTTTCTGCACCTCTGTTACACTACTCCCCGTGCACATCATAAGCCCATGAGAGCCATACTAAGACCTGCATTTTTAATGTCAATTCATTTCAGAGCATATTTGAGAAGAATTTTGTACAGAAGAAATGAACTGCTGTGATTAACAGAATTCCTAAGAATTCTACTGCGGTTTTTTTTTTCCAAGTGGGTCAAGTGAAGTTCATGGTGTCATACCCTTCAATGACACACCCAGGCCCTAAATTTCCTTCTAATATAGTTCTTCGATTCCATGGTCAAAGGGGCAGCCACTTTCATCAGCACATTCTTAGCCTGATTTCAAGCTTTCCGAGCTGTGTTTAGACTAAGGATGGAAACTGCTCTAGGAGTCAGGAACCTGGACTTAACCCCCAAAGCTCCCGTTAGTTAACAGCTGATTTGGGGCAATTTCTCTCTGTGGCTTCCTCTGTAAAATGAGGGGCTTAGAGTACGTGATCTCTGTTCCTTTCTGGGTTAACAGTCAACACCCTCCCATTTCATCTGAATCTGAAAAACCAAAGGATACAAACAGCCAGGACCTTTTTTCTACCGAACTATTCCCTGCTCACGATGATGACCCTGAGATTTTGTAACTTCCTGAATGATCTTCTGAGTCTTGGAAAACAGATTAAGTTATTTTAAGTAGACTGCGGTGCTTAAGAGTGTTTTCTTCTATTCTGATTCTTGGAAAAGTTATAAACCGGCTAAGGCAATAATAAACATGACATTTTGACTAGGTGCTTTCACATGTATGACCTCACGTGATTCTCACAGAAGCTCCATGAAATCCGTCATGTTCTCATTTCAGTTTAACAGAGGAAACGGGGGGCTCGGAGTCATGAGGTGATGGCACTGTGTTTGAACGTTACTCAGTTCAAGCTCTTTTGCTATAGTATACATTCATCAGAAACACCCTTTGTCCCAAACTCTCTGTGTAAACGGGATTTTGATGCAGATTCTGTGGCTGATAGGATAGCATTGTAAAAGAGAAGAAGACACCCCAGAGATGATCTAGCCCAACTCCCACCCACCTTTACTCATTAGGAAACTGAAGCCGCGAAAAGTTAAGAGGCTGAACCACGATAAAGCTGGCCCAGATTGCTTGTTTCAAGCCTCTCATGCTGTGTCATAACTTGATTCAGTGACACAGAACAATTTCTGTAACCCTTGACATGAATGAGGAAAGTTATCACTTCCTTGCTTAGTCATCTTGCCTTCAGATTAAATATCCTAAATTGGTCCAAACATAACT